TATGTGGAAATCTACTATTAATGAGGAATTTATTAATATGATTTGTAAGAAAGCGAGCCAAATATTTCGTCCTGTGTCAATATCAAAACGAAGATAATAAAATATCATTTGACTGCCTGTGGAATTGGTCTCAAGAAGCTTCTTAAAAATAAAAAGCAGGAAGGGCAAAGTTTTGCATTTCCTGCTTATAAAAGAAAGTAAATTAGAATCTAATCAAGAGTTTAAGAAGTTTTTACTGTTCAGTTTTGTCTGTAAAAAAGTAGAGTAGTTGTCACTGAAAAATTGTTTCTCCTTAGAAAGTCCTCCACAGTAGATCTCATCGTCAGCTAAATCAAATTTACTTTTTGTGTGACCTTAAATCTGAGGCATCAATAGTAAATCTGTTTTGGCATATTATTAGGAATTTTTTAGTGAAACATTTATTGCTACTGTGACATAATGATCAACTGATACTATTGTAATGGCTTGCAGGATTTTTTCATAATGTGATGTTGCATATGTTTTACTCTTCTTTGTTATCAAATAAATAGAGTATGTTCTTAATCGGAGATTTCTTCTTTTGTACTAGTGTTATGTAGTATGATGTGATATTTTGGATTTGTTTATAGAGTACATAATGGTATTTCTTTAAAAATCCTAATAGAACCAGTGTATTTTATTTATTTACTTATTGCTTTAAAACAGGTTTTGAATTAAGGCTTTCCTTTTCCCCCCTCTTTGAGTATGCACATAAAACTTATTTAAGCTATATTTATAATATATCAATGATATAAGTAAAAGAAATAAGTCTCCTAGGTTAGCTCCTTTAATGGGAAAAGAACTAAAGAAAAATTAAACCTTGAAAACAAGAACACTATTCTGAATAGTGTTGGCTAAGATTTTTCAGATGGTTTTTAGCATTTATTCCGACATCTCCACATATAAATGAGAATTTAGAAATAAAGTAATATAATCTAATATAATACTAATATCTATATAAAGTTGTTTGACGAATAATGGAAAAAAATTCAATTACTGCAGTATGTTTTAAATAAAATTTGGAATATAAGAGAATAAATTGCACTACATTAGATAAAAAAGCGAAAAATTTTCTATTTTTTGCTTATTTTCACTATATGTGTTTTTCATAGGTTTGTTACTAGAGGATTTACTTTATAGATTTGAAGCTAAATATATTTTTGTTTTTATTTATGCAAATTAATTAATTTAAAGAACTGTTATTTGAGTATTGTCTTTCTATAGATTGAATCTTATTACGTTATGGAATTACAATTAAAATATTTCAGATACGTATAATATTAAGAGTATATCTATGTAAGTTCTTTTATAAATTTACAGTATTTTTTTAAGTATATAAAAAGTAACCATAGACAGCAAATAAACAATAAACATATTAGTAAATTAGTATCTGTACATTCTGTATGTATTTTTTTTTGTGTGTATTTTTTTAATATTGTTTTTAGCTAACCAAAGAAAAGAAAAGAACAAAAATTTTTAATGGAATTTTTACTCTACTAAATCCATATAAAAAGTAATTTTTTAAATATAGAATCCCAGTCATCTGAGCACTGAGGTAGTTTTTTATAGCATTCTGCACTTCATTCTAAAAACATAATTTAAAGGTGTATATCCTGAATCAGTATTTAAAATCATAGTGTTTAGTAGACTTTTCTGGAAACACACACAAAAATAACATTTTTAATAAATTTGCTACAGTAATAGACGTTTGATTCCATGTGAGCAAACTTCAAATAACATATTAAAAATAAACCAGAATTAGATTAAAGATTAAAAAAATTTAAAAAAAATCACGCAGACCAGCTATTAAATTTTTCAGAGGTTTTTTTTAAAAATGTAAACTGACTAGATATATTAAATCATCAGCATGCACTTATGTATTATTCATGTAAAATTTTGTAAAATTTTAGAAGAGTATATGTTGATTCAGGAAAGCTTTAGAAAATTTAAAATTACTGAAGCTGTATTCACACCAATTTGTGTCCACAGCTTTAATGTCCTCCAAATATTTAATGTGTAATGTAAATTTTATAAATTTCTAAAATTTTATATACTATCTGTTTTCTCCCCAAATTTGTGCATATTTTAAAAATATACAATCTCACACAGCAGTCAGCAGTATTACAAGCATAGCAAATTTTGTGTAAATATTGTGAACTTTTCTTTACAGTTGCTCTATATTTTTAGGTACAAGCTATTTTTAAACGTGTTTAACTTTATTTGTTTTGCAGTAACAGTGAATTTTAGTTTTAATGATATATTATTTCGTTAATATTTAAGGCTTCTAGAAATGCAAAGACATTTTTAAAAATTACTTCAATGCAATTAGAAATGTTCATAATATACATTATAAACCTTACTTATCTAAAAGTTGCTAACTTGCTTTACTTTCACAGTCATAAGCAGAATTCAAAATTTTCAATGACATCGAATTTAAGAATTTTAAGAGTCCGAATCCCATAAATTAAATCAGAGATATCTGGTGGCAATGAATGCAAATGACCACCGAACTTCCGTAAGGGTAAATCCAACGCAACAGTGTAAACAGTCGCCCGTTTACACTATTGCGTTGGATGCTATGCGTTTCTTCCAATATGTTACACAATTTGGTAACGTGCTAATGGGAACGGGGCTTATTACCGAAGAAAAGGCATTTCTGTCAGTTGATAGTTCAGCGTAAGTGCGGAGTACTGAAATACCTCCGGGTTAGCATCGCTCTTCAGAGGCACTTTGCATTGCTTTGAGTTTAACGTTCTTAGTAGTTTGAAGTGTAACTAGTGATTGTACTATGTGATACTATGATGAGCTGTATGAATATTTTTACGGAAAGTTACAGAACTATGAAATGTTACTTTTGGAAAAATAAATTCTATCAAGCTATCATGAATTCTGTGTGCTTTCAATCTGTTATGAACCCGTACGCACACAACAATATAATGCTAACTTCCACACATTAATACAATTTTTTTTAAAAATCTGGCACTATCCTTTTGGTATGAAAGCAGGCCATGGCTTTTGGGAGAGAATCAAATAACAATTTCCATCATCTCTAAGCAACTTGGAACGGAAAAGCTGTTCTCAGCTAATTGTCCTCTCTGGCAATCAGATGGCAAATCAGATGTTAAAACACTTGCACAAAGTTCACATGCTACACTTTTCTCTAGAAAGGTCAGCACAAACTTAGCTATCATTTTGCCTTACATTCTCATCATAATTTAATGCTTATTTAACAATGGATTCCAAAGGAAATATAACTCATTCACTTAGTAATACAAAGCTTCCCCCCTTATCTGCATTAATATTGAAATCCCCATAGGGAGAAAGAAGTAGGTAATCATATATGTAATGAACCAATAGTTCAAAAAATGATAATTTTGCAGATTGGTTCAAGACCGGAATAAACCGACAGATCTGCAATGGATGATGTTGAAAAGAGAGAATGCAGAGGGCACTGCTTAACAACACGTAAGGTAGAAACAAAGTACGAGTTCATTAGGCATTATAATTTCTCTGAAGATTGGTCCAACTTATAACAGGACAAATGTAAATATGTATATGAACGATATAATAAATGGTAAATGAAATGAACCACCGGATGCTTTTTGTTCCTGTACAGGCTGCCATAGTTTAATGCAAGATTTTTATAGATGAATCAAGACACAGGAATCACAGGTTTCTTTTCTTGAACTATCCCAAAGCAATTTTAATAGATTTCAATAAATGATTTAAAATGATAGGAAAATTCTTGGTCAGCAGGTTCCTCATGAATTGATGCAATCAACTTCAATATTATACGAATGCATGTAAAATCAATTTAAGTGAATATTCTAACCATTTATATTCACTTAAGGTATTTCTTCAATAGATGCAACATGAACTCACCATACATGCTTACAAAGAGCAAGTCAAGGGTTAACTTCTTAGATAAGAGACACTTAACATAATTCAAAATATCATGTACCTAAGTGCTGATTAATAGCAACCTCTTAACAAATATGCTCCAATGTGCTGTTTCTGAAAGATATTGCCAAATTTGATGCATGATGTCTTGTTTTATATGATCTAGAGTCTTACATGACAATGCAAGACCCAATATTTACTATACTATTTCATTTAAAAAAATCCATTATGATTCATTTGCTATACAGATTTATGGTACATGTTTCATCTGGTCTGAATTTGAAAATTACCTATCCTAAGTTACAAATAAACCAAATCAAATGGAATTCTTAAGATGCATCACCTACTGGAGTAGCAGCAACTTTCTATGAAAAAGAGTAGTACCTCTCAATGTAGTACATCTGAAAATTTTAGCAAAGAAAACAATTTAGTGCAACAAATATCATAAGATTAAAAAAATAAATAAATAACTAAAAATGCATATTCAAAATGGCACTCATCATCCTTTAGTCAATTTTTATGGCTGTTTACAACATATAAATCACACTTCTATAAGCCTAAACTGGGGAAAAGCTTTCTTTTTTTGGGGGGGGGGGGGCCAAGACAGCTGTAAAAGGAAGTACTACAGTTTGCTCTTAAAGCAAGAGAAAAAACAAACGGTATTCTTAGTGTTCATTTCTTGAAAAATTTTAGTAGTTGCTTATATCAAAGACTAATGTGACAAATACCCTTTTAAACAGATACACTACTAATTTGTTTTACTTCTTACAATCAACAGCTTTAAAAAAGAATGATATAAAAGAACAAAATGCTATATTGGATAGATTTTTTTTTTCACATAACCTTTCAGTGAAACTCTGTACTTGATTAAAAAATGGTCCTTTTTAAAAATATCTACATACTACCGTTCTGAATTGTCATTTTTCAGATCTTTTTACAAATGCTTTTTATACCATTTCATATAATTAATGGACATATTGATGATAAAATTATTGTATTTAACTGTGCTTTAGTACAGTTTTCAAGGAATTCATGAATATCTCTAGCACAATATGTGAAAAGAAACATGTATTAAATCAAAATTCTTCTTTGAATAGAAAACTTTTAATCTTACAAATTAATCAGAAAATTAAGATGAACAATACAGTAATACACAAAAAATGACTTTTACGTTTTTTATGAGCCAATAACTGCATGAAGGTACAAATCTGATGGCTGAATGCATGAAAATATCTTTAGCCTAAGCCTTTATGTTCGGCGCTGAAACAATGATCTTGCTCGACCACGGCCTCTTGCAGCTGAAAGAAAAAAAAAGGGGGCAGAAAATGTATAAATGAGTTGAAAATACATTAGCTAGATGGAAACATATTTGTTTATGTTAAAATGCAACACAGTTAAAATTTTATAACTGACAGCAAGAGATTATGCATATACAGTAGTACCTCCTACAAGGAAATTTCCTTGTAGGAGGTACTACTGTATATGTGTAATCTCTTGCTGTCAGTTTCCTGTTAGTCTCAATCTCTTTGAATAGGGAGCTTAATGTATTTAACTCTTATTAATGAACACTATTTAAGGGATGCTGTAAAAAGTTTAAAAAATAAAACAGAGAAATCTTCTGAGGTTTCAAAGGCAAGTTTGCACTCAGTGAAAGATAGTCTTATGACCAAAGGAACAATAAAATGAAAAGTTAATCTCTCTCTTTTGAAAACTATGTTTCTTAATGAGGTGCAATCCCATTCACAGAACTCAAAATTCAGCTATTCTTACTACAGTTCTGAGTTGGGAAAAGAAAACAGTGTTAGCAAGTTATAAGGAAATCCAAGACAAGGACCAATGGAAAAGAAAAGGTGGTGAAATGACTGAACATGCCAAGTAAAGGGATCTCACAATGTGGACAGAGTGAAAACTTCTACCATTCTAAGTTCTTACTAGGATTGGGGTGCAAAATAAGTGTAGTTTTGAACTTGTGAGTTATTTTTACATACAGTATCAAGCATTTCAAAAAAGAAAAAATTAACATTAAAAGAAAAAGTTGATGTAATTCATATAGCAGAAACTGAAAAGCAGTTTGAGAGATTTAGGTGGGAAATTTGGAATAAATAAAAACAAATTTATGCTAAAGGATTAAAAAAAAAAAAAAAAAAAAAAAAAAAATTATGGATTACTAATTCAAATGAACATTCCAAGACCATAAAATTTAGAAAAACTGAAGTATGTGAAATTGATAGGTAGTATTTAACTGGATTTCTTCTGTAAGAGCATAAAATATTTCTGCAGGAGTATTATTACAAGAAAAGGCAAAAGAAGTTCCAGAAAGTATGGGAGTGCAGAATTTCACACCATCAAATGATTGGTTAGACAAATTTAAGTAAAGACATAACACTGCTTTTAACACCATTTGTGAAGGAAAATCGGTATGTAACGCAAAACAGGCTGGATTAAAAGAGGAAATGAATTTGTGAAGAATATAATGCAAAAACATTTAAAATGCAGATGAATTATCCCTAACAAAACTATGCTCCAAAATAGAAAAAACTTTTGTGGTAAAAGCTCCAAGGAACCGTCTCACTATGCTATTCGGTCACACGAAAAGAGTTTGAGTAACCAATTTTATTTGTAAAAGACCAAAACCCAAGATTTATCAAACACATCTATCCAAAAACTTTACTGGACCATTGGCATCACAATAAAAAGTCATGGCTGATGCAAATCCACAATGTCACAGTTGATTGCTCTTGATGAAACTATGTCAAGGAAAAAATACAAAGATTCTGCTATTTCTTGATAATTTAACAGCCCACCCACCAAATGTAAAACTGAAATCAGTGTAATTAGTTTTCCCCATCTAATGGTACATCAGTATTATAGCCTTTGGACCAATTAATTAGAAGCTTCCAGGCTCATTACAAAAAACTGTTTTTATACCATATTCTTTGACACGCTACTGTTGGAAAAAATGATCAACTTGTAAAATTTGTCAATGTATTGAATATGATTGAGTGGATAACAAAGGCCATTAAATCTGAACCACAAAGTTGTGTTAAGCACTGTTTTAAGAAAGCAGGCTTTGAAATTCCAGTTTTGAGTGCCCTCAGTGAAAATATACTGGTTATCATAAATTAAGGAAAAATCATGATTACTGAAAAAGTTACATGTAGAATTTAATGAAACATACCCACAATATACAACACATAGTAAGGTATCAAATAACATAAAAAGAAATTACCAGACAAATATGGTAGTATAGAAATTAGCACATGTATAAAATGAACAAATCAAAGGTGTCAGTTTGCTATAGGAAAAGTACCTTCAATATGGAATATGATCGCCTCTAGAAGCCATACAGTGATGTGTGTGATGCTTTCAATTATGCGGTCTATCAGTTGCAAACGCAACAAGGGTCTGAGGGAGCGGATTGAGAGCAGATAGACGTCTCCCTAAAGCATCCCAAACGTGCTTGATAGGATTCAAGTCCAGGGATCGAGCTGGCCACTCCTTGCACATAATTGTTTCCTGTTGAAGATAATAATCTACGATGCGAGCCCTGTGTGGTCTTGCGTTGTCGTCCTGTAACAGGAAAGCATCACCTATTGCCCCGGCATATGGGCGTACATAAAAATCAAGGATGTGATCTCTATAAATCTGAGCATTCACGGTTCCTCTTGGAAAGACACAGAGGTCTGTGTGTCCACCCAAAGAGATGCCACCCCAAACACAGACACTGCCCCTTCCGTAAGCATCTCTTTCACGGATGTTTGACGGATGATAACGGGTTCTAGGTTCTCTCCATATCAAATAACGCCTACTATCGCTTTCTAGACTGAACCTGGATTCATACGTAAAGAGAACCGCCATCCATTGATCAGGCGTCCAGTGGACATATTGTCGTGCAAACTGCAAACGATCCCTCCTATGGCGTGACTTGAGAATGGTTGTTCGCTCGCATACAGACCACCTTCGTGAAGCCTTCTACGCACAGTTGACGTTAACACCAACCTTCCGGTGGCTGCAGCAAGGGAGGATCTAAGAAGAGGAGTCTTAAGAAGAGTAACGGAGTAACGGTTCTATTCCTGAGTGAACATAATGTCAAATATCGGTCATCGGCGCTCGTCATAGCAGTTGGCTGTCCTTGGCTGAACCTCCTTAGGTGCCGAATCGGTGGTTTGAAATTGCCTCCAAAGTCTATGAACCACAGAAGAGAAGGACTCACATTTAGCCATCTGGCCATTTCTGTTTGACTTTTGTCCTGCCTCTAGTCTCCCAATGGGTCACCATTGCAGTTCTGCAGGCAAATGATGCCTGGAGGTCATTGTTACGAATTGGCTATTGGCTATCTCAGATTTCTGATGTCCCTATAACAGTGTGAAATATATGGGCTTGCTCTCAAACATGGACTTTTATGCTCCTCACAGATGACGTATACCGAAAGCAGCGCCACTAATTTGCATATCGCAGTTTTACTTGGCAACATATTCAAATTTTACATGCTTTGGCTTATTTTTGAGGGATTTATCACTATTTTTGTGATTTTTCCTCAATTTATGATAACCAGTGTACTAGAGAAGAAAATAAATTATTCGAATTTGGTCAAAATCATTGGCAGTGCTCAAATGCAAGAATATTTAGAAATCTATGAAAACTTGTGCACTGAAAACACCAATGATGACATAAAAATCTTTTATTTCAACTGTAGTTGATGATCTTAGCTTTAACACAATTACCTTGGAAAGTAGTGAGGACTACAAAAAACGAGCCAGAAGAAAAATGCAACATAAAAAAACTATAGAGATGTCTTAAAATACACCTCCCAACTAAAACAAATTCATGATACTTGTTGGTGACAGTGAAGGACTTATTATCAGAGACTTTAAATATACACATAGAAAGAAAATGCTTGCAATGCAGACCTTACTAACCCGTGTAATAGATTATTTTCAATAAATTACAAAACTAGTATGCATTTCATACATTTTTGCAAAAATTAAACTTTTTTAATTAAGAATTTTTATTTTTCATTACCTTTGAATTCAAATAAATACATATGACTACGTTATTTATTTATATATCACTTATTTAAATCTTGATACAAGCTGAATTTCTAATTAAATTACATTTTTTTTAGTGTGTACCCTCTGAAGAAGGGCCACCTCTATTTTAGGGACAAAAAGTTTAGTCCAGTGGGTGTTCCTTACTGGGAGTCTCAACTGCTATAAGAAAATTTTCCTGATATCATACAATGCACTAAATATTAAAATGGAGTAAATATTAATAATCATTGGGCAGCAGTTTTGTTAAAAAGTATCCAATTTTAATGCTGTTTGCGGCAAAAGATTCAGAAAGAATGGACATTTAGTGGTCTGTCCCTTTTTTAAGTACAATGCCGAAAAAAAAAGAAACAACGAAAACCACGAAATGCTATACAAGAAGGACTTGCACCTATAAAAACTGACTTTCATGTAGCGTAACAAACATGACTAGTAGGATTTGTAAAGGTTATAAAGGTTTATAATTACTTACACTAACAGTAGGCGTTGAAAATCACCACCCTCCTGGCATAGACGCAACCGAACTCGCCACTCCACGTTGGGTGCAACGCTCCACAACGTGTTGGCAGTGTTGTTTGCAATTTCCTTAGAAATGTCTGTCTTTAATTCGTCCCTTGAGAAAACCTTATAAGAAGAAATTTGGGGACAATAGATCGGGTGACTGGGAAGGTCACAAACCTTTGAAAATATTGTGGCCCTCAAAGACACTCCTGATCAGATCCATACTTTGTTTTGACGTGGGCATGTGGCAAAATGTCAAACTGTTCCGACTTCAACAGTATGCAGTCCCTCTTGTAAGGAATTTCGTGGTTTTCATTCTTTCTTTCATTTTTTCCAGTGTTGCACATAAAAAAGTGTAACAGACCAATAAATTTTCATTCTTTCTAAATCTTTTGCCACAAACCATATTAAAATTGGATACTTTTTAATAAAACTACAATCCAATGAAATAGGTCAGTTCTAAAAGAATCACACTGTATAACTAACTACACCTGGTTCCTCGTGAAAGATTTCGGCAATTTTTATTACACTTTTCTCATTTGGACTATAATAATAGTATGTAATAAATAGTGTAAATCAGTGTTTCTCAACCTTTTTTGCTCCATGCATCCCTTTCACCATTCCTAGATCATCTCCCTTTCTTTTCCCAAACCTCAAAAATACACGTACACTTATTTCAATTTAGATTATTTTAAAGATGCTTTTATGAATTAAAAACAACAAAAAAGTACAGAATATGTCAATAAATA